TTTTTTGTTTAGCAATCTATATATCTATCTATATATCACAAATAACGTGAATTAAGAAGATACCTGTTTTTATAATGTTTTATTAAATAAAGTTTGTTCATGTAATATTACATGTGACTTGCAAGAACTGAAATATTTCAAATTCAATAATGGTATGGACGTGCAAAGTGTGTGTATGGAGAATTTTTCTTATTTCTTTGTTACAGAATTGAAATTCACTCCAGGTATGTAGTTTTGATAAAGGTAAATCTCATTTTCTCAAAAGTGATAAAAGTGGACATAGCCCTTCATTTCGTGATCTCATAACGTTGACCCATCTGTTCGCTCGACTGGCGTCCAAAGCTGGCAGCTTGTCTGGCGTCTTTTTCTGGCAGCTGGACGCCATGGCATCGCTGTTGGTGTCGCTGCCATGGCATCCTAGTGCGATACCGCCCAAAGGAAGTTGTTTGGAGACCTTGACCGGACAATGGAGTCTCTCAGTGCTACGTCATAATTATCAATTCGTTGATATGCATTGGAATTTGAGGAGAAGACGCCAGCGACTTTGCTACCGCGGAGTGAACACAGAAATTGACATCGGCGAAGCGTAGATCCGCGGCTGAAGCTGCTCGTCCATCCGTCTCTTTCGCATGGCACAGACCAGACTGTAGTAGGGACGGAGGCTTTGTGCCCTCGGGCGAAGTTTCGGCATTGTAAATATATTATATTAGTGTGCAGTTCTCTGCAATGGAAGGGAAGGGCCATTTAAGTTAAATTAGCATGGAGGTCACCCTCTGCAGCGCCCTAGGGGTTACGAGGGTGGATATTCCTTTGATGGACCGCTGAGGACATTATTTTGTTCCGTCTTCCGGTTGTCAAGTTTGACTTGAGACAAGTCTTCACTTTGTGACATTCATTTCAGAAGTCTGTAGCTACCGTACGTATGTTACAAGGGAAGTTGACGTAGACGCTTTGTCTTTGTGCGACCATCAGAGGCGGAGGGCTCCCGTAACCCAATAGAGCGGGTAGAGTTGAGAAATGAAACGTGTATTAGACTCATCTTCGAAATGCACTCGAGGATAAGATGGTGTGCGAACGACCTGGACTGTAAAACTGTGTTTGTCAAGTGTATATGATTTTATATGTGTAATATCTGGTCATATGTATGAATCCTGTGTTATTTACGTTATGGCTTAATACGTAAAGGTCTCAGTCATTCGCATGGACGATATGTCTGTATTTATAAACGTAGTTGTGGTTGTAATTAATTTTGATGGTTCTTAAAAGGGTCCTGTGTGGCCGTGATATTCGTGGCAGAAATGTACAGGATGGCCTGCTGTCTCACGGGCAGCGTACGAAACACTGGTAAAGAGAGCAGATACGCTCTGCGTTATCAGCAAAATTAAGTGTTGATGGTGCTAATTGCAAGGGCGCACAGAAGTAGTTCAGATAAGAGCCAGTGACGTGCAGGCAATGATCGTCCTTAAGGACTTCACGACGGACAGACGCCACGACAGGACGGTTTAGGGTTTTAACTTCCGCCGTCACGTAGCAAAATTGTTAGAATTGGTATGTCAAGTATGCATTGAACATTTGATTAATTAATTCAGCCTTATTCACCCGAGAAATATTTTCTAGTAATTCGGTGTGCATATTAGGAAGTAGACTGAAACTGTGACGTGGTTGTCAGGGAGTTCAGGCCTGACGCTGGCGTGCGTAGGCCTCAATCGTCAGGGTCTACTGAAATTAATTTCTGAAATCAGTAGCGTAGGCCCCACTGCCCTCGATATCTGCCCATTTATTTATATTTATTTAGTGTTCTGACTGACGACAGGTCCATATGAACAGGATTCTTCCATCCTTTTCTCGGACTGGGACCTGTTCATATACGTTCTTGGCAGATGATCCAGAAGTGGTTTGCCATTGCCTTCTTCTGTGTGTGAATGGAGTAATTGGTGGGATGCCACGGAGAAACCGGGGAAGCCCCCGGAGGAAAACTCCGTGGTGCCTAGACCACGGCCTTGCCCAACAAAAGTTATAAATTCGAACCCGAGACCCCAGGATTACAAGGCCAACGTTCTAACCGCTAGACCACCGTGGCTATACTTTTTATTACAAATAATAAAAGTAGCTGAGGTAAAGAACAATTAGGCCAATTTTTCTCGTTAAGTTCACAGACCGTCTACACATTTTTTATAACAGCCGCAATGTTTATCAAAATTCCACATGTTTCGACCTTAATTCTTCATCATCTTCAGATGCTTCTCTCTAAGTCGTCGAAACCAACTGATGTGGCTGCTAAACTTCATACATATTTTCAGTTGCTGTCTTCACCACGTCGAAACACACAGCAAATTCTTAATAAACATCGCTTAAAACTACTTATCTCTTGCACCGATTCTGCTTCAGATTTACACGTGAAATAAGTCTTGGAGGGAAATTTAAGCTGATTCTGGCTCGTGAGCCTAAAACACAGTTGAGACGCTCAAGATTTCTGCAGTAGTTAAAACAGTTATTCCCGGTTACGTCATTTGCATTTAAACAAAGTTGAAGAATGTCTTTTTTTTTAAAATATGCAACGCGTGTTCATTGTCGAACATCTCGTTCTCACTTAACTTGCCGGAATGAGTTACAGATAAAGTTTCTGATTCTCCTGTTCAAAACAGATCGACGATATCTTGTCTGAGAAACTCTTTACCGGAATGGATCAAACACGAGAAAAATAGTGAACGCTTTGGACGTCTGCAACAGTCAATATACAATACGATGAATGTTCCTTTTGTGACATTAGAACTTGTGTCATGAACGGGTTGCGTGACTATTCTTGGTTCATCGTGTATTAGTTTGAAATCGTAGACGGTTATGTGATTGCCCCGCCGTCTGGCGGCTGCGACAGTTACTAAACGTCTTCAATGGCGGAGTCACCGGAGAGGGAAGAGTTCAGAATATTCTCATTTAATAAGGCCTGTGGTCACGTTCCTCATAATTGAACATCGCGGGCGAGTAGTTAGCACCTGTGCTTCATATTTTTGGGGTCCTAGATTCAAATTTAAGCTTGGAGATCAACTATACCGAAAGTACCTCAAAGTAGGAGACGATCTCTTCCTTTCATGGGCTCGTATCTTTTTCAATTCACTATTAGTTAGTCACCGTGACACTCAACACTGTGTTGCCGGGGTTACTGACGTCATTAAATAATCTATGAAGACTAAATTATTAAATAACGTTGTCTTTTCATTGCTAACATATTTTATTCTGAGTGTCGTGTCCGGAAATGAATGCGGTTATTCTGCGTCTCATACTGACAGGTCGTTCATTGTTGCCACTGTGATTATTCGAGTCGGGACTTGTTTCGAGAGCGCTGTTGCAACATATCCGGCTCTTTGAATTACCTCGCGAAACTGTTCTGTTACTTTCTTATATAGCCTCTGGCCAGCGAGATGGCGAGAGGAAATGGAAAGTATCAGGCGGCTGGTCCAGTTTCAGAACAATCAGCACAAGGAGACGCTGAAGCCGAGAGTCACTTCCGTTATTAAGCTCGTTAGTGGCACTGACCGGAATCTCTTTGCCGACCCAATCACTGGGAAGAAAATGTATAAAATTTCCCACCTTTTTATGAAACCCCACTCTTGATTATCGTGTTCGCCAAGAGCCCCAGTACTGGTTGATTTCGTAAAGACAGATTAATCTAATCCATGCCATCAAACTATTTCTGTGACATCCATTTTAATATTATCCTTCCGTCCGTCTCTGCTTCTCAGATTGTGAGCATCTTTGTAACGTCGTAAAATTCTTTAAAAAAATGACGTCACAACATTTATAGGGATTATGGATTCAAAAGAAATAATTACCAGACGTTTTTCTGCCAAATTTTAGTGATATTGGTTTACGTCTTCTCGTTACATAACACGGATCGCTACATTTAACTTTTAACACAATATTCAGAGCGGTTTTGATTAAATCGTAATTTCCTTTAAGCGTGATTATAATAATTGGTTTTGTGTTGCATTTAAATCCTCTGTGTTTAGAGGCCTCTTAAATGACAATGATTTATGCTGTGGGTCGTTTGGCCTGACAGTAAATCCGACGCCAATTGTTGAGAGAGGAATGTGAGGTGCTGGAAATGAAGTGTGACGACAGGAGTCGATGTGGCAACATGGCAGCCGTGAGACGGTCTGTGCTGGCTACCAGAGTTACTTGCCCGTGGAGTGCTCAGCAGTGAGGACAATGGAGTGATGAGAGCGAGAAATACGAGCGAGTAAAGAAGATAATTGGTCAGTCTCTGTGTAAGCGAGCCCACGAACCAGTGAATTGGCACAGTCTTGTGGCTTAGGACACGGCGTATTGCTCTGTTGAGTTTCTGTAGGATTCTTGTGTAATTCCAGTGCAAGAGATGGTTTTGAAAGTGCCGTGGTATTTATTGTGAGTGTTTGGTGAACTTTTCAGCGTCGTACGTCTTACAAAATCTTCATGTTCTGTCTCGGTGACTAAAGTGAAGGATGAATGTCAACTCGTGTGCAGTGACATGAAGACGTTATCGTGATTTGTGGTTCGAGGTCATGGGTTTGAAAAGTTGCTGAAGTTTAGGAACGAGTTTGTCTCTTGTGGTGTCGTCATGATGGGTGGTTTGTTAGTAGCGTTGCATCCAGATAATGTTTGTAACGTCGTATGAGACAAAAAGGTAATAATCGATTTAGAGGAAGTGATCTTGCAGCTACGCGTTTATCCAGGACAGCCAGTCCAGAGCCTTACACACCCCTGATGCGTCACTATAGTTTCATTCGCTTTTTTAATATTTGTGGGCCAAAAATCTTTCGGATAAAGCCCATTATTCACGGTTGTCAGCAGATGGGGACACAATAGTTATTTGGGGATGGCAGTAATAAATCGAAACTGTTTTTTTTTTTACGAAAACACTGAAAACAGATTTAATTTCGCAATATTCAGTTCAAAATATGTCATCATCGCGTCAGATGTCTTGAAAACGTTGAGCATTACCTTTTCGGGATTTGAGCTTCTGACATCTGTGAAGATGTTGGGTTCTGAAGATCGAGACAGCGTGTGCTTTTCCGAGACTTTGTCAGGATACGCATTAACTGAATGCTACGCGACCGCCAGCAAAACGTCCCGCTTGTGAACACGCCATGTTCGCACGTGCGCAGTTTTTGAGCAACCAGGGTGACCTTGACTCGCGTGTCTCATTTTGGAGGGGGGGGGGTGAACCTGCTTGTGATTTCGTTCTGTGCCGTTGTTTAGTGATTGTTTTTGGGTTGCATTTTGAATGGCGAATTCTGTACAAGCAAGTGACAGAGTCGCTTGCCGTTGAGGCGGTAGTCGACCGAGTTGAGGACATCGCTGAATGTCGGATTGAAGTAGTGTACTTAAATCTTCATTTGTTCCTCTGAAACAGACATCAGACACTGTCGTACTGGGTTGCTGAGAGACGCAGATACGATTAAGAGAGATCAAAGACAGTTGTAACCTTTTATCTATCTATCTTTCTTCCTTTTGTTCAGTCTTCATTTCCTGCTTACATTCTTACACATTTCATTTCTTCCTCGCGTCCTTTTTCGTTTCATTGCTGCCTTCTTCACCTTTTCCTTTTGTTCCTTACTTTGCCGCCAGTCGTCGCTTCAGTCTTGGCCGCTGGCGTAACTTTCTACCTTCGCTCCCTCAACAATTGGTGAAGAGAGAAGTACTTCCTGTTGGGCCAGGTTGCACCGAAACACGAGGAAACGTCTCCCAGTGCCTCTGGTCAGTCTTCGTGTGTCATCGACGTTGTTCGGTAGTGTGTTGCGATCACGCCAGATGTCAGTGTCGTGAATGCCGTTTGTTTGTTTCTCAGTTGTTGTTAACCGAACTGCGTTCGCTGTGTCTGTGCCAAGACATGCTTGATGGGACCGATTTGCTGTTTGTTTAGATTCCGGTCAGCGCTCCGCTCCGCCGACGTGTGCGTCTTATATGAAGTCAATTTATCTAGAAATATCTGCAGCAGTTTATTTGCTGTGGACGCGATTGTATGTTGTTTTTGTATGACGTGCGTACTATTATCACTTTCTGGGAGTTTTTATGTGTGTGCCCTGTGCGTTTCGATCAAAGTTGACGTTGAATGTACCCTCTAAAACTTGTGTAAGTGAATTTAATTTTTTCTCTTCTCCGGTGTGTCTTGTATTTCGGTCTTTCCATGGCTCAGGCGTTTAATCGAAGGCTTCTCACCGTGGCCACCCTGGTTCACGCTCAGGTCAGCTCAGGTGGGATTTTTGATGGGGAAAATTTGGCAATGGGACAGGTTTCTCTCCGAATTCTTCCGTTTTCCCCTATCAGTGTAATTCCACCGAGCTTCTTATATACATATGTATTATCTGAGGCCCATTGACTACCCCATCACACAGACAGACTCACCCCATTAAATAATAATAATCCCCTTTTTACAGGTAGCTCAAAACGATATTTTTTCAATGCGCTCTGTAGTCTGCTCGCAATGAAATTAGTGAGTGTCAGACATAACTGAGGTTAATTTCTTGCACACCTGCGTACGTTTAACAAATGAAAATCGAGCCTGAAGCGACATTCAACACCGAGCGGACATTTTGCAAACTGGACACGGCAGAGCACGTGATTTGGCAGTAGAAAGTAACGTTGAGATCAGGTTGCATTGAACTGGCTACCGTCAGGTAAGATTATCGAAACTTTTACTCCGGCTGAATGCAGTGGAATCCGTGTTGTTCCCCGCGGTCAGACTTGTTCCGGTGAAAACGCAGGAGTCTTGATTTCTAGACCCCGATCAGTGCACCGAGTTTAGGCTGAGGCCCGTTTTAAACATGTTTGCTGTGCCCGGAACTATTTCATTCGATTTAGTGCAACTCTTCACATAAGAAACAGTTTTAAAGCTTCGTAAATCTTCGTAAAAATGTCTGTAATTTCGGAACATACTGTACTGCACTTTGCTCGCTATTCCGGGAATTGAATTTATTTTCGTTTGTTGTTTACTTTTGAGAGTTTTTCGTGTTCGAAAATTATTAGAAAGGCCACCAGTACGAGCCTGTGTCTGCGAGAAAGTTCTGGAATGCCTTAAACAGGTAGCCCAAGATCACTTCCTCCTGTTCCCTTCCACATTCGTCCGACTCCTTCCAAATCCTGACCTGGTTCAACTCGTATTATTAAATTCTGTGTAGGCGAAATTCGGTTACGCGCGTGCGTGATGCACCAGAGGAGCTGCAAAGCGATGGGCAGGCGGGGGGGTGTGTTCAGGAAGTTGGTGGCGTTCATGTGTACGACCTTCAGCCATGGCAAGGCCCGCAGTGGCAGAGGGCGCTCCGTGTCGCCGGTGGACGACATCCAGGCGGCGCTGGCGTCATGTGACGGCGAGGAGGACTCTGAACCGGAAAGAGCCGTGTCCATCGCCGGGACGGCGGATTCTCGGTGAGTGCACTGACGAGAGGCGTTCTTTATGAAGCAAATGTACCCCGAGTGTGTTCTGTATTTATGGAACTTCTTTCTTGCTGACTTCTTCAGGTTTGTCGGCAGATTCTTTTGAGTTATATGTAACGAAGGTTTCTAAATTCATAGATTAAAATCGTCGAGTGATAAATTGGAACATTTCGCGGCATGTTTAACGACGCTGCGTGTGGACAGCAGACGGTCAGTATTGAAGGTGACGCGTGTAGAACGCGTGTTGAGATGATAAATATACACGACATTTTGGTACGAAATGTTTAAGCAAATAACCACTTGCAAGACGTAGATGGGAAGATAATATTAAAATGTTCTTAGGGAAATAGTGCTGGAAGTCGTGGATTGGATTCGTCTTTCCCAGTTCAGATGCCTGTAACCATAATCCGCCTGAATAACACGCGGGTGTTTATCGGCGAAATGGAAGCTCATTGTGATTCTTGGGAGCCTACCGCGATAATCTTTTGTTTCCAGTCGGACTCATGTTGTTATGTATCGGCACCAAAGGCTTGCTAATAGCTGCTCTCAATGTCAGGCCCTTGCAGAAGGAAGCTGCTTGCTTCAGGCTGTCCGTAATCAGACGACCGCCTTAAAGCTGATGTTATGTTCTTGAACGACGCTGTTTCCACTGCAGAGGTTGTGCATGTGACGTGAGGTGGAGAAATGATCACGAATGAGGTATACCAGGTTCAGGAGACTGTAGACTGAGCAGAGGACGGAACACGTCACTCGGGAGTTCGTACCCCAAGGAAGATTTGATGAGGACGTGTCTTCAGCCTCGCCGATACATCGGCATCCCCGGCTTTAAGCAACATAGCTCCTTTTACGTGCTTCGTAGTGATGTGAGGAACAAACCTTGGCCTCGTTAACGCGGTAGAAGTTACCGGCCTACCTTTAACACCTGACTTTCATTTAATTAGCTTCTGGTAACCGACGAAACGTCGTTTTGAAGTGTTTTCTTAGTAAGGTGTGATAGTTACATCTGTCATATCTGCATCCACGGCCGGTGAGAGCAATTTTCCGATGTTGATTTCCTCTACATCAAACCTTCGCCGCGGTATAAATGTGTCGCTCTGTCGCCATATTTGTTAGAATCTCCGTGAGCTGTTAAGGAAGCTGCCCAATTTTTTTTTCACGTTGCAACCTGGCGCGTGAGGTGATATCTGTCACGTCTCCCGTTCGAGCATCTGATTGGTCAGGACACCGATTATCCACGTTATTAGTTGATTTCCCACGCTCCGGAGTTGGTCATCGTGGTATTGTGCCGCGTTCGCAAATTCAGAATCGTTATCTTCTCGTTTTACAAGTGAGATGATGAAGTCAGGTTGAATAACACGCCCTTCTCTCAATACGCCGACAAACTATGTTTGTATATACCCGAGATAAGCCGGCGGAAATTGGTGATACCAACTTTGAACTACTCTGCAGTGTAAGAGTTCCCATGGAAGAGTTTTTTTTTTTAAACTTTGTAACTTCATCGGTTTTAGAATCATAAATTCTCCCCAGCACGCTGTTACAAAATCAGTTTCAGACCATATTCTTGCCTTCGGACTTATGTGATGTAACACTTCAGCTAGTTCCTGCATTTAAAATTATTACGCTTAAAACCCACGACGTTTCGGAGGCTGGTTCTGTCTCCGTCTTCAGGTGAGAGGTACCTACTCTGTTGGGTCCCTAGTTAGTCTCTTATCACTGGACCAGCGTCGTGACGATGGAAGAAATCCTGACAATGAATAATTTTAAGTGTAATCTACAGTCGTCAGAACCCTTTAGAATTTAATTATGTTTATACTTCTTTCATTTTCGTTTCGCGTTGTTTGTCTAAACTGACTTTACTCCTAACCAGTTCGACATTTCCCGGGCTTTCCTTCGTTTCGTCAGATTCCGGTTTAACGCAGGTCACATGAGGGTAGCTGCAGAGATCTTCCCTGAGGGGCGGGGTCGGTCTACCCTCGTCTCGAATCGAGTCTGAGCTTTGTGATAAGTAAGCTTAAGTAATTAGTGTTGTGAACTGAATTTGCATTCATTTGGAATACATACATACGTAATGTTACGTACTGATGGCTGCTAATTTAGGATAATGCGCACACCCCTTTCTGCCCTCCGGACCGCGTGTGGAGGGATGAGGTTTCTTCGGGCTCACTTTTGTGTTTTGCTTCGAACGCAGTTCCCATTTCCTTGGCGACCATCGTGCGTAGATCATGGCTCAAGACTTCTTTGCATTTACAGTCGCGAAGTTGGTACACTGCACAGTGGAAGTAGCAACGTCCCAGTACTATCGCAGTACGTTCTTATAAATCGTAATCAGTGGGCTCTCTGACAATGTCAGTGGCACTGAAGCTCCCACTCAGTGACTCCAGTTCTGGTGCCAGCTGCTTGCTACTGGCTTCTTTGAAGATGCTGTCCCCCGCTGATGTCATCTAGAGGGCACGAATACCCTAAGCGATAACCCAGCCCGGGGTAAAACCGGGCACTGCAAATTGGCAGTGACCAGACATCCGGTGTTGAGCTTTGTAGTATTCAGCTGATTGTGTGTGATGTCTTCTGAGATGTACTCTTGTTCTAATTCAGCGACGCTTCAGAGGTGCTTTCTGCCTCCATCATCGGGGTAGTAGTTCTCATATTCGCCGTCGTGAGAGACAGAAATCTCACGATGTAGGAATTTCACTTTGGGACGTCTTGTAAGGGTTTAATATACAAATTATTTATTTTCTAAATCGTTTAATCCTTGACCTTGAAAACGCAGTTCATAACAGTTCACACATAATGAGCAGCATTTGTGGAAATCGCCCATTGGCTTGTTCTCCGTTGTTAGAAGACGCCCTTTGTGACGTCATTGATATCTGCTTGGAAGTTTTGGAACCTTTTAGTAAAAAGAAACTGCTTCTTCGACGACGTTATAAGCTGCTGTCTCGGACGTGGATTGTTAGGTTTTGGGCAAATTTGAATTTTGACCTGCTTTGTTTCTGTCGCAGTTACCACTTCTATACACAACTGCATTCAGGCTTTATTTCCCATTTCAAATCTTGTTATCTTTCCAAAAATTCTTGATGCATTATCTTTTTCTCCTACGCAAGTATAACAACACATTCTTTCAAATACCGGTTCCTGTACTTCTTACGTCAAGGGAAAACATTCCTTGGGCATGTCAGAAAAGGAGATACTGAGAAAGATACTTCAGCCCAACAGGAAATAAGTCCCAGGGACTTAACCTCTCACAATGAGGGGCTTCGTATTTTGTACTCCTCGCCTTACTCTACCTTGACATGACGTGGCTTGTAACACGCATGAGAGGGATGATAAATGCACACAGAAGAGAATACTAAGAGTAATTGGGATGATAATATTACAACGGATCTTATGTAAGGAAACAGTGGACTTCATTCACCCACCCCAGGATGTGTTCCAGTTGTGAACACTGCGATGAACATTAGATTTTTATTAAAGAAACGGAATTTTTTGATTAGCTGAGCGACTGTTAGGTTGTAAGTTTGTTGGCGAACCTCAGAAGGAAGCAGGTGGTGCGTGGAGAAGCTTTCCCCCTGAACTGAGGAGACTAGGACAGTCGTCCGATAAATAACCTGCTCAGTAACGAGACGTCTCGGCCAGTCGGATGATTATTAGCGAAATGTTCAGAAGTGTCCTGTTTCTTGTTTGTTGTAGTTTGGATGAGGGGTGGTTTGCCGTTCATCTAACACGGCAGGGGCTTGCGCATTGTAGTTAGGCAGCACTGCAACGCTCCTTTCCCGCTCCTCTATCTGAATTCAGGGGTGTACGAAAACTGCGCCTCTCTTGAGCATGGCTGTCCGTTGGAAATGAGGACCGTTCAGTTGGTAGACACTGACCGGCGTTTCTAAAGACCTTCCTCCCCGTTCTGCAAGGTCAGGGAGTAGATTCTGTTGGTTTCATTGGCTTCACATCGTTTGCACGTACATTTA